ACACACACACACACACACACACACACACACACACACACACACACACATAAAAACAAAACGAGCCCCAGGGCTCACCATATTTTCTTGGCCAAGTCCGCTCCAACAGAAACAATAAGCAAGCACTTCCAACGCATGAAGCCCAGAAGGAAGAAGTGTGTGGCCTGCGCTCCAGCCACCAGCTCAACAAATGACTGGGCCAACAATGAAGGCAGAATCAACAGCCTTCCTGTGACAAATGTATAGTATCTGGCTCCCCCACCAGGACAGGAGAAACATTTTCCGTTACTAGCCTTCTGGTTAATTCATTAAAGCAACTAACTTTAAGTTCCAAAAACAAAGCACAAATGCAGGATGTCGAGTCCCACCTCCTTCCCGTTTCAAGCCGCCAGGCCACTGGAGCCTTTCAGCCAGTTTTGAGCCCTGTGTCCTCTTTATTTGATTTTCTGCATGAGACTGAAGCAGGTTCCCAGAAAAGAGCGAGGAGGGAGGGAGGGCTGATTCTGAGAAGAGCCTTCTCTTAAGACTGGGAGAGCACAAAAGCCTGTTTTCAAAAGCCGAAGGCAACGCCAATAAACAAACATCTGAACTCAGTTTAGAATTCCTGAGATAATTTAAACTTCCAGCAGGGAACGACCGCCAATGATGTAACTGAGAAGGACACAGTGCAGGGACAGGAAGGCGTTCCCAGCTGCAGTCTTCACACAGTAGATGAGAAACACAGACTTTTACCAAAAACACTCTCCCTGGAGGTGATTCCTCCCTCCTGGATTCGGCAAGAGCTCAGCATCCTCAGGCTCTTATTTTTCATAGAAGACACATGGCGTTATTTCTTCCTTTTTATTGGATTGCAGTCTGTGACTGTTTAGACAGCCTGCAGCTCAGTGAGGGAAAGATACTAAATACCTGTGCTGTGGGCTGGATTTAAAATTCCAAAGGATGTGAGTTCAATTCCCAGAACCCACGTGGCGCTTACAACTGCCTGTACCTCCAAGATCTGATACTCTCACACTGACTTACACGCAGACAAAACACCAATGCAAATAAAACAATTCTTTAGAATTGTTTAATTCTTTAGAATTAAAAATATATATATTTATATATAAATATATATAATATTATATAAATATACATAAATATATATGTATATATTTAATTCTAAAGAGTATGGCATGGAACTCTTCATTGGCCTCTGCTGAGGCTCACAGTGAAGATGCCAAACTAACTAACTAACCAGAGTCCATGGATTCCCAAGCAGTAAGTTGCAGTTACAATCAGCCCAGTGAGGCAAGCTCCGATTTGAAGCTACTCACACTGGTACTTGCAACACCAACAGCCATAGCACTGACACGGAGCTTGGGAGACTGTAACCCAGTGGGGACCACTGATTTTGCCACTGTCCATTCAAGCCACAGCTGTGTCACGGTCAAAGCCACTATTGTAAAAGTCTACATAGCCCTACAAAATGAGACATCTGAAGATTGATTTAAATTATGTTCACTTTCCAGCAGTAAGAACAAATTGAGCAAACTTGGTGAAAGTGAATGAATAAACTTGAATTTCTATACTTTAGCTACACTCCATGGAGAGCTGTGTGTGGCTTTTAGCTGTTATCAACCCAGTTTATTTCCCCAAGCTTTTCTGAAAATTCAACTTATCTGAGGTTTGATGCTGGCAGAATCTGAGGGAAGGGTGATCTTCTTAAGGACTTTTAGGGGGTACAGGGTTTCTTCAGTTGCCTTGTGTTCCTCAAAATGGCTTCCTACCTGTCCTTACTTAAGGTCATCCTGTATCTTTGAGATTGTATTTCTGCACTATTAATCTGTACGTAGGCGGGGGAGGGGGGTAACTGTTCCTTTCCAAAAAAAACCACAGTTATTGATCTGGGCAGGGTAAATTTTTTTAATAGCCAGAGTCTCAGCTGACTGAATGACAAAATGTGATTTATGCCATGACACCAACACTATTAATCACCCACAGCCAGATGGGAACAGTTACTACCCTGGACCGGAGGGTGCTGAGTGGCACCGCCTCTAATCTGGTCATGTCACTGATAACCAGATAAGAGAGAACAAAAAGAAAAGATAATCAGTACCACGTCTTTCAACAATTTGCTACAAGAACACACAGACCACACACATTTATACCGGACATGTTTATGAGCAGCAGCGCTCCTTCAGGTCTACAGGGTTAACAATCCCAGTATTACATTTATTCCCAAACACACACACAAAATCACTTTTAAAACTGGAGATACACTCCACAAAATTAAAGCCCATTTGAAACCTGAAAATTGATGCTATATTTAAACGAACCTATTTCAAAGTGGCAAGCTCATATAAATTACTATATTCTTTATTGATCTGTAATGACTTGCCAGATTGCGTCACTATCTGGGGCTGGAGACAATACTATGAGAACACTACTGTGTTTTACTTGTTTGGAGAAAAAGAAACAGTTCTCTGACCCAAACACTAGAGCCTGACCTTTGATGAGGGGCTTAAAGCTGTAGGGCAGGGGAAAAGAGTTCCTATAAGCAGCAAAACCCCACTTCCCTGTTTCTTTCTCCACTGGCTGCTTACAGACTGATTCCTATCAAAATACAAACGTCTATAACACGGGCTACTCTGCAGCAAGTAGGCAAAAATGCTGATCTACATTTAACAAAGGAAACAATTCATATATAAAGATACCTTTCAAAGATTTACAGATGTATGTGTTATCTGCGTGTGTGTTTAAATAGACAGATATATCACTATTAAACAGAAGTTATCTCTGGGCAATGGTAAAGATGAACATGTTTCACTTATTTCTTAGAATTTTGAAATTCAAACAAATAAACAAAAGAAGTCACCAAAAGGAGATGTCCAGAGAAAATACCAGATACAGAAACTAGTTTCACGTTGGGAGGGGGGGCAGGAGCTCCACTGAAGGAAAAGTGAAGGAGGCTCACTGAAGCCTCTTCCCCGAGCAAAACAAATAAACAACCTGGCAGAAACGACATTTGCAAATGTATGGGATTCTCTGACCTCCTGACCCCAGGGTTAGGACTCCAATTCACACTACCCTCTGTCAACACCACTTGCTGATAACAAGGAAAATGGGAAGGAAATGGTTCACCAGAAAGGGAAAGGGTAACTTTGGTTGTGAAGACAAAGCTGACATTTTGTCTCATGAATGAACGTGCACTAACCTCTGTACTTGTGCTGAGGCTCTGTAATCAAAATAAATAAAAACCCTAGGCTGTGATAAACCAAATAGCTCTGGCTGTTAAAGCAACCTTAACAATCAAATGGATGGACAAAAGATTCACTCTAACTTTTCTGATAGCCAGTTCATCTATGTGGCACAAAAACAATGGAACTCTCCTAATGTCAGGATAATCAGATAATGTGACATTTTCAGATGAACAATAACTTTTTAATTGAAGTCCCAGGACAGAAGCTGCAATATCAACGGTGGGATGTGGCCCGGCCTGCACAGTCTGGTCTGTGAGAAACTGCCAGGAAACCATCTTGGCACTGCGTACTCTCTGAAGGTAATGGAAACAAGTCCAAAGGTAAGGATTTTAATAGTTCTACATCCAGAGTCCCACAGGTTGAAGAACATATTCTCACTGGCTCACCAACTACCCACATCTCTATATGTGCGTGTTTCGAAATAATTTTTTAGATAACAAGAGAGTTACACAAATCTTGATTATATAAGATCGCTTTCCTAGATTCTGCAAAACAGCCCACAGTATAAAACACACTTGTCAAAAAGAAGGGACAAGGGACTCTTCAGGATGTAAACAAAGGAGCCACCAGAAGTGTGCATATGCATGCATGAGTGCCTGTGTGTGTGTGTGTGTCTGTGTGTGTGTGTGTGTGAGAGAGAGAGAGACACACACACACACACACACACATACACGGAAGGGAAGAGGGAGAGAGGGAGGGAGAAACTTTGCTTGAACTCTGCAATTTAAAAAAAAAAAAAATTATAAGTTTATGTATTTATATATATATATATATATATATATATATATATATATATATTTTAACAAGCTAAAAGCACATCCTAGGGAGAATTTGGAAAATCTAAACACAAGTCATGATGGTTTATTAGATATATTAGAACTGCTAATTTTCTAAGGTGTGACAGTGAGTGGTGGTTATAGAAAAAGGTATACCGATCTTTAGGAGATGTACACTACAGAAACTCAACACCTGTAATTATTTTTAATTGAATTAAATGGATCTAGTCAGTGTGCTGATAGGGTAACTGGAGTATTCTTTGTACTATTCTTGTCTTCAAAGGAGGGTTCCACACAAAGAGTTAAGGGGAGCTCTGTAGTGAGGTTTTTTTTTAGTTGTTTTGTGTGGAAAGGAGTTTAGGGATTGAACCCAGAGTCTAACCCCTGAAAAATAAGTGTTCCACCACTGAGCTACATCCTCAACCCTTGTTTTGTTTTTTTTTTGTTTGTTTTTTTTTTTTTTTGCTTGTTTTTGTGTTTGTTCTTGTTTATTTGAGACAGGGTTTTACTGCCTATCTCAGTCTGACCTGCACTTAGCCAGGTAATCCAGGGTACCCTCCAAACCCATGATCATCCTGCCTCTGACTCTCAAATGCTAGGGTTCAGGCAGGTATGTAAAATGAGCAAGGGAGCAAAATTAACTAAAGCTCCCATTAGAACCACAGTTACAAATTCGTGACAGTCTCAGCGAGGACTGAGACTTGCTCTCTCCCAGCTTCACCAGCATATTCCACCCAAATACACTGCTTAATGGGTGGCTGAGATCAGGGACTAGAGGAAACGTTTC